AACATGTTCAGAATGTACTGTAGAGTGCCACTGTGTACAGATATTACACGTGTCAGCACAAAAATGAAGCATGCTCAGAATTGCGAGGAAAGTGCGACTGAACACATAAACGGCACGTGCCCGCGTTGAAAACCAAAGTTGTTACGTTGACGTGCTGAGTGTTTTCGCTTTTACACCTGTCATACCTGTCATTGTGTGTCATGCGTGTCAGCATGTGGTCGTACAATTACAACAAGGGCGGTTGGCGTTGCTGTCCAGCACTATGACCCAAACTTCGGATGCCGGACTGAAAATGGAAAGTAGGAGAGGCCTTCGACGCTTGCTTCTCGGTGAAGCTTGCAACGAGTTGTCACAGGCTTCGGATGAATTGAAGGGATTTCTGAAGTACACAGATGTTAGTATGTCTGATTTATTTGTCAAACCGTTGATGGACGAGATGCGGTCGAATGGGAAGGTCAACTACGCTTGGACGGGAGATTCCGTACGATGGGAGGGGAATTGTGAAAAAGATGTCAATGAGCTGTCCAGCTTAATGGTAGGTCAGCGGGGCGAAGGGGATTCGAAGGACGGTTGATGAGGTGAAGTTGAAGGATTGGATACCGATTTACTTTGAGTGGCCAACTTCTGGCGCTACTTATACACTTCTGCAATCTTCTAGAACTCTACTACCAAACACTACGACACACATACTACAAATGTATTGGCTCTAACACATGTGCCCGTCTTGCTACTCAGCCTAACTGGCGATGGCCCAACAAACAGAACAGAAAACCGCCTTACGAATTACCACTGTCATGACGGAGAAATTAGTAAGGCAGTACAACAAAGCACAGCAAAGCACAAATTCCCTTACTATTCCAAATCCAGCGTGGCACAAATTCGTAAGGCACGTTTACAGCTCACACGTTGCCTTACGAATTCAAATCAATCCTGCAAGGACTGTTTACAGCGCACACGTTGCCTTATGAATCTGAATCTCTCGTGAGGTCCTGTCCACTGTCAATTACAACAGTGCACATTTTGCCTTACGAATTCAAAACTCGCGCAACGTTATCTTTGTGTCCTGCTGTACCCGTGCTGCACTCCATGGACGCTGTGAACCTTTGGCACGTGCCAGGCACCCGCCACCAAGGTTCTACACTTTGTCTGTAAGACTGCAGGCGTACTGTACGCGTCCGACAGTGTAATGAAGACATGTGTCCAGGTCATACACGTGTCGGGCGAAGAAAAATGAAACATGCTCAGATTGTAGTGTACACCGCAACCGTATACATATTTCACAGGTGTACACGTTGAAAACCAAACGTGCTTCTGAAGTACAGTAGAGTGCAACCGTGTACAGAAATCACACGTGTACACGTTGAAAATGAAACTTGCTCAGCTCGTCACGTGGAGTGTTTTCGCTTTTACACGTGTCATACCTGTCGTTGTGTGTCATGCATATCAGCATGTGGTCGTAGAATTACAACACTCCCCCTCGATCACATGCTTTTACCAGAAGTAGCTACTGCAAGCCCTAGAAGTTCTACAAACTTCTGGAACAGAACTGGCCCAAGTGCTTTCGTCAGGATATCTGCAGGCATGGAAGTGGTCGGGCAATGTGACAATGAAATGACGTTTCTCTTAATTGCATCTCGTACATAGTGGTATTTCACATCAACATGTTTGTTACGACGGTTGACCGATTCATTCTGTGCATACGAAATAGTCCCTGCATTGTCACACCCCATCACAATCGTGGGATCAGAATCAAGTCCAAGAACATCAGCAACCACTTGACGCAACCAAGTCGCCTCCTTACACGCTTCACATAGTGCAATGTACTCAGCTTCACACGTCGAAATTGCAACCACAGTCTGTTTCCGGGAACTCCAACTGATCGCTCCACCGCAGAACTTGAAAACATATCCGCTGGTCGACTTGCGAGAGTCTGAACAACCGGCCCAGTCAGCATCACTGAAGCCGAACAACTCCGGCGATTTAGATTTATTGTCAAACACGATTCCTAAGTTTCGAGTCCCTTGCACGTATCGCATTACCCGTTTCACACCTGCCCAGTGTGACTCACATGGGTTGGCAGAATGTTGAGAAAGCTTTCCAATCGCATATGCCAAGTCTGGACGAGTGCCAACCATCAAGTACATCAGGGATCCCACTGCCTCACGATACGGTACATTTGTTTCGGAGTCGTTTTCGGTTGAAATCGTGGTTGTGTGACCTTGTTCCATTGGAGTCAGAGAGGGGTTACACGTTGACATTCCAAAACGCTCATGCACTTTTGATGCATACTTAGTTTGAGTGAGACTCAAAGTCTTGATAGTGCGATCTCTTTGAATCTCAAGACCAATGCAGACTTTTGCTTCACCAAGGTCTTTCATCTCAAACTGTTTATTAAGCTCCCCCTTCATCCATTTGATGGCATCGATATCACTACCAGCGAGTAACAAGTCATCGACATAAAGTGCAATCAGCATGATAGTGTTACCGATGCGTTTAATGTAGAGACAAGGATCACTACGCGAAGTCTCGAATCCCAATTCACCAATTAAGAAATCATCCACTTTGGCATGCCATTGACAATGTGCTTGTTTAAGACCTTAAAGTGCTTTCAAAAGTTTACACACGTGGTCACTTTTGCTTTTGTCAATGCACCCTTCGGGTTGCTCCATGTAGATGTCTTCATCCAAGTCGCCGTTCAAAAACGCAGTCACGACATCCATCTGATGAAGTTCGAGGTCGTAATGAGCAACTAAGGCAAGAAGTAGACGAATAGTGGTAAACTTTATGACAGGGGCATATGTCTCAGTATAGTCAAGACCTTGCACTTGCTGGAATCCACGAGCAACAAGTCTGGCTTTTGCACTTTCAACTATATTGCCATTTGCATCAGGCAGTTGCTTGACATTGAAAACCCATCGAGATGTCAAGATGTTTGACGCTTCAGATCGAGGAACAAGTTTCCAAGTCCGATTCTTAGTCTGCGAGGCAAGTTCTTTGTCAATGCCGGTCTGCCAAAATGCAGCTCTAGGACCGTTGGTTGCCTGGTTGAAAGTCTTGGGACCTTCAATAGCGACATGCGCATGTGAAAGAAGAGCAGCTGCAAAGTTGCTCCTCCACCATGATCCGGGAGGTCTGCTGACTCGAGACGATCTTCGCACAGCTGGAGTCGGAGTTAGAGGAGTGACATTCGGAGTTTCGACGGCAGTTGGTACATCATCTTCATCTTCATCATTCTCACTTACAGAATGAGCACCATCGTTTTCAAGAACCTCCTCCGAAACTTCATCCTCTTCAGAACCGACCTCATTCGTATTTGGGGTATCAGCTGTATTCCCATTGTCGCCATCGAGCAGTACAACGTCAACATCAGAGTTGATTGAATCACCTTCGTGTGCAGGAATGTCATGCATACCACATGTCGATTCATCAAACTTGACATCCCGTGACACAACAATTTTATTCAACTCTCCGTCCCAAAGTTTGTATGCCTTACTGCATTGCGAGTACCCAAGAAACATCACTTCACGCGCTCGCAAGTCCAGCTTACGGAGCTCTAATTTTGGTAATGTATACCAACACTTTGACCCAAATACTCGCAAATGGCCAACATTTGGAGTAGAATTCATCCAAATGTGGTGCGGAGTTGTATTAACGGGCAAAGCGCGTGAAGTAACTCGATTACGTACATATACCGAAGTGGCAAGAGCCTCGGCCCAGAATCGCTTACTGACCTGTTTATGAGAAAGCATTGAGCGGACAAGATCAATCAAAGTTCGATTTAAACGTTCAGCAACACCGTTTTGTTCAGGGGTGTACGCCGTTATGAGTTGGTGCTGCGTACCGTTTAAATCTAAATGCGACTTGAATTCCGTCGACAAGTACTCTCCCCCTCGATCAGTGCGAAGCACCTTTACTTTGCCACCAGTGTGGGTTTGAGCCTAATGGTAGGTTCGGAGGGGCAAGGGAAAGAAGGAAGGCAGGTTGATGTGTGTGAGTGAAGGAGTTGGTCCCGAGGTTTACTTTGAAGCCCTTTTCCTGCGATACTTATACACTTCGAGTGCTAGCTACACTATCGCTCTACTCCGACTCCCAGTAAACCATACTCTACTATGCGCGACCAAGCGCGGTCCTCTTGTGGCCCGACCATACTGTTCGATTTCCACCTTACGAATCGATTCGTAACTATTAGCTCACAACTATTTCTACACATTCCAAATGACTGTAAACCATGGCCCTATGCATGCAACTGTTTCACACCTTACTAATCTGCATCCAGTCATGCCAGACTTCATTGTTGTGCAACGAACAACTTGGCACTTGTCTATTTCCAACAACGCAAACGTCTTTCATATCACAATCGCCATACGTATCCTTGTTTCTCACCTTACTAATTTCGCCAAGCACTGTGAGATAATTATGGCAAGTTATAACAATGTGCATCCAGACTTTCTACACAACTCACATGAGAATACATGTAAATCACACGAGTACTGTCATGAACTTGCATCCAACGGCGCACCATGACGAGAGCACAGTGCAACGGCGCGTGCTCACGCAAGACTCGCATACAGCGTGACGCGTACACAGAATAATCGCACAACTGTATTCCTCTCGCGAGAAGTACTTGTTGTACTTTTGATTCACATGTACTGTACTCGGACACGCGCAGGATCGCAAACAGTCTGACACTGTAAAACTGTAAACCCTCATGTGCATACACCTGGATGCGTGTACATGTGTACGTACACGAATCCACCTGGCGACGTGTACATGTGTATACGGCATACATGTGTCCCGCCCGGGGGCCCCATGCAATTACCCATTACAACCATGGCAAACCACTTGAAACCGCCAAAACAACGTAATTATGGCATATACAGGCCATTTAAAGTACATCACAAGGCCAATGACGCACACGTGGACAACGCTCGACCAATAGATTTGCAGCATTAGACCTGAGGGCCAATAGAATTGCAGTATTTCCTGTGTAGTCTATAGTGCTACGGGCCAAGGTTCCACTTGGCAAAACTATGCAAATTTGCATGACCCTCCGAGAGGCCACTTTCGTCCCCGGAACCCCAAAATCTGGGATTTTACACGTGTCATGTCGTGATATGGGTAAGAGCGCCCGGACCGTGCAGTCATGTACACGTGTCACTCGATTTTGACCTTTTCAGATAACAGCATGTGGTCGCACATTTTCAATAGAGCCAACTTTTCATACAACTTGTATTTTGCAAACGCCTCAGATTTATTTCTCATCGTGTACACAACAACCCAGTTCGAGTGATCATCTACAAATGTAATGAAGTATCTCGAGCCACCAATGGACTGTACTTCGAGCGGACCGCAAACGTCAGAATGTACCAAGTCAAGACGGTTCTGTGCTCGAGACGATGATCGCTGTTTTGGGATTACTGATCGCGTTGCTTTGCCAGACACACACGCAGGACAAACGAGAGAGTGATTGTCAGACTTTCGATTCATTGCTCTGATCACATCGCTTTGACGAACGTTGATGCCACTTACCACATTATTGTCAATCATTGATGCGGTTCCTTGTACGTTAACATGGGCCATGCGTTCATGTAGCGTCTGCAGGGTAACTACGTGAGCAGAAAAGGTTTCATTCATGACGTCAAGTATGTACAAATCCCCAACTTGACTCGCTGTAGCAACTACAGTTGGTCCTGCAGTAACGCGGCATTTCTCATTTTCAAATGACACTTGCAAACCCTTCGAAACCATTTGGCTAACAGACAGTAGCGAGTATCCGAAATCAGGGACATGCAAAACGTTTGACAATTTGCAAGGATGGGGACTACCGTTGACGTTCAACATGAATTCTACCTCGCCGCGACCAGCGACATTAGCTCTAGCCTTCGTGCCCATCTCGACTGATCCAGATTGCATCTGTTCATACGTAACGAACAAAGAGCGATCAAACGTAATGTGAGCGCTGCAACCGGAATCGACAAGCCATGACCTTGCGTTTGCAGCCCTCTTTTCTGGAGTGGAAGTCGAAAGCAAGCAAGTAAAGTCACTCTCCGCAAAGGCAGCAGTAGAATTGTCATCTCGAGAAACGAACGCACTTGGCTTTAAGCCAGTGTTGCGTGACCGAAACCCATCTGGCGGCGCAGGTCGGCGCCCATTCACGTCCTGTTGGAAATCTTCGACCGCATGCTAAGCTCCAAGCCTGACAGATATTACACGTGTACGTCGACGAAACCTAAAATGCTTGCAAGAGCATTCTCAGGATGTTTGGTCTTCAAGGTGGACACGTGTCATATTTGTACACGGTTGCACTTTCCTATTATTTCCGAGCATGTTTCAATTTTGGTGTTGACACGTGTAAGTTATGTACCTCGTGGCACTGTACAGTACATTCTGAACATGTTTCATTTTTCTCGATTTGACATGTGTGTGACACGTATGACATTTGTCCTACACGTGTATGACACGTATGACGTATGTGCCACAGTGGTTATTAATCGTATTGTAAAATCTGTAATCTACAGTACAGTACATTCAGATATTATTGACTCTCAAACGGTCCCAAATTATTAGCAAGAGAGAGTACAAGTAGGAAAGTCATTTGATTATCAACCGAGAGTGGAAATAGGAGAGTCACTTGATTATCAACCGAGAGTGCAAGAAGGAGAGTCATTTGATTATCAACCGAGAGTGGAAGTAGGAGAGTCACTTGATTATCAACCGAGAGTGCAACAGGGAGAGTCACTTGATTATCAACCGGGAGTGGAAGTAGGAGAGTCACTTGATTATCAACCGAGAGTGCAACAGGGAGAGTCACTTGATTATCAACCGGGAGTGGAAGTAGGAGAGTCACTTGATTATCAACCGAGAGTGCAACAGGGAGAGTCACTTGATTATCAACGAGTGTAAGAAGGAGAGTCACTTGACGAGCCCTAATGGCTCGTATTGTATGTAGTTCGAAGAGTATAAGTAGCGCCAATAGTTGGCGACCAAGAGTAAAATGGTATCATCTTCTTTTCCCGTCAACCACCAGCAACCTTCAACCATCCTTCTTCCCTCTGCCCCGCTGACCTTTCTTTAGGTTATGGGCCCAGTTCAACGCTGATCGTCGTCTTCGTTTTAGTTCAAGTTCGAGTTTCGCCGTCGTTCAAGTATCAGTTTGTTCAGCTCGTCAAGCAGAAGAAGAAGGTATCAGTTTCAGTCTCCGCTTTCGAGTTTGGTTTTTCAGTTTTTTCAGTTTTCGCCGTCGTTTTCAGCACCGTTTCAGCCGATTTTTCAGTTCGGTGGTCCGTCAGTTCCCAGTTTTTGGAAATCAACTTTGTGGTCTTGCAGCTTTGTCGTGGCAGTCGTTGTGTGAGCTGTGGGTGAGCCTTCCGCTAGTCGGGAGGAAGAAAGTCCCTAGTGGCCAACGCACTGCCAAATCCTCAGTGGTCCGTCAGTTCTCAGTTTTTTGCTTTGTCGTGGCAGTCGTTGTGTGAGCTGTGGGTGAGCCTTCCGCTAGTCGGGAGGAAGAAAGTCCCTAGTGGCCAACGCACTGCCAAATCCTCAGTGGAACATACCCTCGCTCTTGGTGAAAGGCTGGTGCCATTGGAAATCTGACTTGAGCGAGGGTCCGACCAAGAATCGTCGAGAGACGAATTACTGATCCTCGGGGAGGATCACAGTGTACTGGTCTAGTCGATCCGCACTCTGCCTTCGGGAGGTGCGTCGGCGGTGTGGGTAACGCTCTCGGTATTAGCCCTATAGGTACGACTTCGGTCCCCTGGGTGAAGAGAATACGTGCCTAAACACTGAACCTCTCACTATACGTGTATAAGGTCGCGTACCTTGATTAAGTTCGCACGGAAGAGGGTGACCCAAGGAGTGATTGTGAACAAATCACACGAGTACGACGAAGGCAGTTTCATTCTTGTGTTGTGGGAGACCCTCTGAGGCAGTACCGTATCAAGTTTGGACAAGCCGATTTAGGTTGCAGGGACCGTTCGCGGTAGTAACCAAAAGTCCTGGTTCGTCTACAGGCAAAGTTGTTGTGCTTACTCGTGGCACGTTTGATTTAGTTCACAGTCGAAAGACCCGCACTGGCCGACATATAGGGGTAGCGCCCTAAGGCATTTTTAAGAAGAATACGCTTGTTCCACTCCGCCGGGAACAAGCACCAAGAACGTTTCCGAGTAATCGCTACAAACTTCCTATACGGGTGGGCTTGCCATTGTGTTGACTATCGGTTAACGGCTTGGGATCCCGGAACGGAAGACCTTGTATACTCGAAGGGTACATCCATTCGGCGAAATGGATGACCAAAGCTCTGGATCGGTCAGAATCGAGAAGCTGACCGCATCTAACTTTTACATCTGGAAGCAGAAAATCGAGATACTGCTTGCTCTCCGAGATGTCGATCAATACGTTTTTGATGATATCCCGGAGAATGCGACGTCAGATGACCGGAGAAAATGGATCCGTGGTGACGCAAAAGCAAAGGCAGTCATCGGACTCACGCTTTCTGATGACTACTTGCAACATGTGCGAGGGTGTAGCAGTGCGAAAGAGACATGGGAAGCAATTCTGAATGTGTTTGAGCGTCATACTTTGCTCAACAAACTTGCCGCCCGTCGCCACTTTTACACTGTCTCCATGCTCCCATCCGAGAAAGTGCTCGTGTTCATCAATCGTGTGAAGCAACTTGCTGCCAGATTGCAGTCAATGAGTGTTGAGATTGACGATAAAGAAATTGCAATGGCTGTGTTGAATGGCTTGCCTCCACGATTCGATAACTTGATTGTTGCTCTTGACGCACTTGGCAATGAAGATAAAGTGTTTGGACTCGAGTTTGTGAAGAGTCGTCTGCTGCAAGAAGAGCAACGAGAAAGCATGAAGACCGCTTCTGCTTCATCACCACATCCACCTGCACTTGTCAATCGTATGCCTATTCGACGCGATATGAAATGTACGAATTGCAATAGACATGGGCATACTGCAGCGCGTTGCTGGGGCAAGGATGTGAATGGGCGCCGACCAGCACCGCCAGACGGGTTCCGGTCCCGCAACCCCGGCATGAAGCCAAGTGCATTCGTATCTCGAGATGAAACTTCTACTGCTGCCTTTGCTGAAAGCGACTTTACATGCCTGCTTTCGACTTCTTCTCCCGAAAGGAAGGCAGTAAACGCAGGGTCATGGCTTGTCGATTCCGGTTGCAGTGCCCACATTACATTTGATCGCTCTATGTTCGTTACTTATGAACAGATGCAATCTGGATCAGTCGAGATGGGCACTAAGGCTAGAGCCAATATCGCTGGTCGTGGTGAGGTAGAATTCATGTTGAACGTCAATGGTAGTCCACATCCTTGCAAATTGTCCAACGTTTTGCATGTCCCTGATTTCGGATACTCGCTTCTGTCTGTTAGCCAAATTGTTTCAAAGGGCTTGCAAGTGTCATTTGAAAATGACAAATGCATCGTTACTGCAGGACCAACTGTAGTTGCCACAGCTAGTCAAGTTGGGGATTTATTCATACTTGATGTCATGAATGAAACTTTCTCTGCTCACGTAGTTACCTTGCAGACGCTACATGAACGAATGGCCCATGTTAACGTACAAGGAATCGCATCAATGATTGACAATAATGTGGTAAGTGGCATCAACGTTCGTCAAAGCGATGTGATCAGAGCAATGAATCGAAAGTCTGACAATCACTCTCCCATTTGTCCTGCGTGTGTGTTTGGCAAAGCAACGCGATCAGTAATCCCGAAACAGCGATCATCGTCTCGAGCACAGAACTGTCTTGACTTGGTACATTCTGACGTTTGCGGTCCGCTCGAAGTACAGTCCATTGGTGGTTCGAGATACTTCATTACATTTGTAGATGATCACTCGAACTGGGTAGTTGTGTACACGATGCGAAATAAATCTGAGGCGTTTGCAAAATACAAGTTGTATGAACAGTAATGGTAGGTTCGGAGGGGCAAGGGAAAGAAGGAAGGCAGGTTGATGTGTGTGAGTGAAGGAGTTGGTACCGAGGTTTACTTTGAAGCCGTTTTCCTGGGATACTTATACACTTCGAGTGCTACACTATCGCTCTACTCCCACTCCCAGTAAACCATACTCTACTATGCGCGACCAAGCGCGGTCCTCTTGTGGCCCGACCATACTGTTCGATTTCCACCTTACGAATCGATTCGTAACTATTTGCTCACAACTATTTCTACACATTCCAAATGACTGTAAACCATGGCCCTATGCATGCAACTGTTTCACACCTTACTAATCTGCATCCAGTCATGCCAGACTTCATTGTTGTGCAACGAACAACTTGGCACTTGTCTATTTCCAACAACGCAAACGTCTTTCATATCACAATCGCCATACGTATCCTTGTTTCTCACCTTACTAATTTCGCCAAGCACTGTGAGATAATTATGGCAAGTTATAACAATGTGCATCCAGACTTTCTACACAACTCACATGAGAATACATGTAAATCACACGAGTACTGTCATGAACTTGCATCCAACGGCGCACCATGACGAGAGCACAGTGCAACGGCGCGTGCTCACGCAAGACTCGCATACAGCGTGACGCGTACACAGAATAATCGCACAACTGTATTCCTCTCGCGAGAAGTACTTGTTGTACTTTTGATTCACATGTACTGTACTCGGACACGCGCAGGATCGCAAACAGTCTGACACTGTAAAACTGTAAACCCTCATGTGCATACACCTGGATGCGTGTACATGTGTACGTACACGAATTCACCTGGCGACGTGTACATGTGTACACGGCATACATGTGTCCCGCCCGAGGGCCCCATGCAATTACCCATTACAACCATGACAAACCACTTGAAACCCCCAAAACAACGTAATTATGGCATATACAGGCCATTTAAAGTACATCACAAGGCCAATGACGCACACGTGGACAACGCTCGACCAATAGATTTGCAGCATTAGACCTGAGGGCCAATAGAATTGCAGTATTTCCTGTGTAGTCTATAGTGCTACGGGCCAAGGTTCCACTTGGCAAAACTATGCAAATTTGCATGACCCTCCGAGAGGTCACTTTCGTCCCCGGAACCCCAAAATCTGGTATTTTACACGTGTCATGTCGTGATATGGGTAAGAGCGCCCGGACCGTGCAGTCATGTACACGTGTCACTCGATTTTGACCTTTTCAGATAACAGCATGTGGTCGCACATTTTCAATACCTCCCCTCGATCACATGCTTTGGGCAGCTTTGCACTCGGAAAGCCCAACCATGCTCACGAACTTTTCAAACAGCACGCGACCAAGTGGTTTGGTCAGCATATCGGCTGGCATTTCTGTTGTCGGACAATGGTACAATGTGACCAGTTTTCGCTGCACCGCATCTCGAACAAAATGATACGTAATATCAATGTGCTTGTTCCGACGATTTGTAGATTCGTTCTGAGCAAACGCAATCGTACCAGCGTTGTCACATCCAACGCGAATTGTTGGATCCGAATTTGCACCAAGTACATCGGCATGGAAGCGTCGAAGCCACGCGGCCTCTTTGCATGCTTCACTGAGTGCGATGTATTCTGCCTCACAAGTAGACTTTGCAACTACTGTTTGTTTCCGGGAAGCCCAACTGATAGGCCCATCACAAAGCTTGAACACGTACCCACTCGTTGATTTTCGTGATTCAAGGCATCCACCCCAATCTGCGTCGCTATACCCATGAAGTTCCGTACCAAGATCATCTTTACCAAACACTATTCCAAGATGCTGGGACCCACGCAAGTATCTCAAAACACGTTTCACACCTGTCCAATGCGAATCGTGAGGGTCGGCACAGTGTTGAGATAACTTTCCAATGGCATACGCAATATCGGGGCGGGTCCCGACCATTAGGAACATTAGACATCCAATGGCCTGACGATATGGTTCAAAGCATGGGTTGTCATCAGTGCCAGTTTCGGCCACTTGCATTGTGACATGTCGAGACTGTTCCATCGGAGTAACGCAAGGATTGCATGACGACATTTTGAACCGTTTCAGTACTGCTTGGGCATACTTCGACTGCGTGACGGTCAGGACGTGTTTAGAACGTATACGGTCGATCTCTAGGCCAATACAAGTCTTCGCCTCGCCAAGGTCTTTCATATCGAATCGTTTGTTGAGTTCATTTTTCATCCATAATATGGCCTCCAAGTCACTTCCAGCTAGCAGCAGATCGTCCACGTACAACGCGATAATCATGATGACATTGCCTTGACGTCGAATGTAAAGACATGGGTCGCTGCGTGTAGTGTTGAAACCAAGTTCAGTGATCAGAAACTCATCGATCTTACTATGCCATTGGCGATGGGCTTGCTTAAGACCATAGATTGCTTTCAAAAGTTTACACACCGAATCAGGTTTGACTTTGTCGATGCATCCTTCAGGTTGCTCCATGTAGATTTCTTCGTGAAGGTCACCGTTGAGGAAGGCAGTCACCACGTCCATCTGATGCAGCTCAAGGTCAAAGTGCGCAACCAGTGCCAGCAGCAGACGGATAGTTGTGAACTTGATGACAGGGGCGAAAGTTTCAGTGTAATCGATGCCTTCTACTTGTTGAAAGCCTCGTGCCACAAGACGTCCCTTTGCAGTTTCGACCAATTTTCCGGACTCGTCAGGAAGTTGCTTCACTCCGAAAACCCACCTGGACGTCAGGACGTTTGATGCCTGAGATCTTGGAACAAGTGTCCATGTTTTGTTTTTGTGTTGTGAAGCAAGTTCTTTGTCGATGCCCTTCTGCCAGAAGCGAGCTTTTGGAGAATCCATAGCTTGCTTGTACGAGTTTGGGATTTCCGTTATCACATGGGCGTGGCTAAGGAGTCCAGCAGTCACCAAAGCTGCTGCCCACCACGCCCCAGGCGTTTTGCGAACGCGAGTGGACCGACGGAGATTAGGTGGCGGATCAATCGTTTCTTCCTCAACTACGTGTTGCTCAACTGTTTCGGTAGTTTCGTCCTCCCCTGCAGTTGGGGAGGAGTTGGAGGATTCGTCAGAGTCTTGTTGTTCATCCGGCGATGATGCTTCTGATGCCACTGCATCATTTTCTGCAACTTCCTCATCGATGTTCAAGTTGATTGTGTCATCATCAGTTGCAGCCTCCTCGTTTGTATCCATCGGTTCACCAGATTTGCCTCCCGTGGACTCGTCAAAAGTAACATCTCTGGATACGATCACTTTGTGCAAATCACCATCCCACAACTTGTAAGCTTTCGTATTTTCAGCATACCCTAGAAACATTGCCTCCTTTGCACGGGCGTCAAGTTTCTGGATGTTGTGTTTTGGTAATGTATACCAACACTTTGAACCGAAAACACGCAAATGACCAACATTTGGCACAGATTTCATCCATAAGTGGTAGGGGGTCATCTTTGGGGGAATGGCACGTGACGTGACTCGATTTCGAACGTACACTGCATTGGCAAGTGCTTCTGCCCAGAACCCCTTTGTAACTTTCTTGTGCGCTAGCATGGAGCGCACCAAGTTTACCAAAGTTCTGTTCAGTCGTTCGGCGACGCCATTTTGCTCCGGTGTGTACGCGGTCGTCATTTGATGCTGAGTACCATTTGCAATCAGAAAAGACTTAAACTCCGTGGACAGATACTCACCACCTCGATCGGTGCGAAGCACTTTGATCTTGCGACCAGTGTGAGTCTGAGCAAGTTGTGCAAACATTTTGTATCGTTCAAATGCTTCTGATTTATGGTGCATAGGGTACACTACTGACCAGTTTGAGTGATCATCTATGAAGGTAATGAAGTACTTGGCACCACCAATGGACTGCACCTCTAAGGGGCCACAAACATCAGAGTGAACTAAGTCTAGACAGAAGTATGGCCGCCTCGAGGACCGCTCTTTTGGGATCACAGATCGAGTGGCTTTGCCGTAGACGCACGCAGAACATTTTTCAGAGATGCAATCATTGTCAGTATTGTTGATTTTGTTAGCCTCATTACCAAGTAGTTTGACTCCACTTACCACATTGTCACGAATCATCGAAGCAATACCTTGAGAATGCACATGTGCAAAGCGCTCATGCCACGTTTGCAGGGTGGCAGCATGTGCAGATCCGATGTCACTGACGATGTCGAGAACGTAAAGTTCTCCAACCAATGTCGCAGTCGCCACTACAGTTGAGCCTCGTCTGATCATGCATTTTCCATTTTCGAACCCAACTTTTAGTCCAAGTTCAGTCATTCGACTGACAGAGAGCAGAGAGAACGCAAAGTCCGGAACGTGCAATACATCCGTCAACTTGCACGGTTCGATGCGGCCATTCACATTTAACTTCAAGTGAACGTCACCACGGCCGGCAACCTTTGCACTAGCCTTGGTTCCCATCTGAACAGAGGCGGATTCAAGTGGCTCATACGTTGCAAACAAAGATCGGTCATATGTAATATGAGCGGTACAAGCTGAATCTACGAGCCACGAAGGCGACATCTCCACATCGTTCGTGTGCGAAGCTTTCGACATCAGACATGTGAAGTCGACGCTGTTTACAACCATGTCGGGATCAGGTTTCTGTGTGACAAATGCAGATTGTTTCCGCTGAGACATACGCGGTTTATATCCGCTAGGAGGAGCCGGGCGACGCCCATTCAAATCCTTTCCCCAGCAGCGGGTTGCCGTATGGCCTGTATGACCGCAGTTCGTGCATTTGTAATCGTTTATGTCCCGATTGTTCGGGGCACGATTAACCAGAGCCGATGTCTGTGAGGAGCTAGACTTCATGTTTGCTCGTTGCTCTTCCTGCAGCAGACGACTTTTTACAAAGTCCAAACTGAATATCTTTTCCTCATTACCGAGAGCATCAAGTGCAACGATGAGAGCCTCGAAACGGGCAGGCAGACCGTTGAGCACTGCCATGGCCATCTCCTTGTCATCGATGTTTACGCTCATTGACTTGAGGATGGCTGCCAGCTGCTTGACACGATTGATGTATGCAAGCACCTTTTCACCGGAAAGCATCTTCACAGTGTAGAACTCACGACGTGCAGCTAGTTTGTTCAGCAAAGTGTGCCTCTCAAACACGTTGACAATAGCTTCCCACATCTCATGAGCAGTATCAACATCACGTACATGCTCAAGATGCTCATCTGATAGGGAGAGACCAATCAGTGCTTTAGCTTTACTGTCACCTCTGATCCACTTCTTACGCTCTTCCGCGCGTTCCTCACTTGGAACTCTTCCCTCAACGATGTATTCGTCAACATCACGTAGAGCAAGCAGAAGTTGTATTTTCTGCTTCCACACGTAGAAGTTGGAGTCCGTCAGTTTGTCGATTCTGATGGATCCTCCTCCTCCTTGATCTTCCATTTTAGTGCAAATAAACTTCAAGTATTCGAAAATCCGTTCGGGGATCCCAAGCCGTTAACCGATAGTCAACACAATGGCAAGCCCACCCGTCTAAGAAATTCGATATGATTACTATGAAGTTGCACTAGGAGAAATTTGCGAACAGATATGTGAATTTATTTGGATGAAATCCCTAACTATTCTGTTCACAAACTACCTTTAAGTGTGCGGCACCGTTCTCGTGGCACTTCAGGTGCCCGTGAGACTCAAAGACGCGATTGCAAGGGATACAACGCGGAGTCTCCTTAGCGTTGGCAACTTGAATGCGATGAGACCTAGACTGAATGTGGTCGTAAAAAGCCTTCGCACTATTGCCACTAACGCCGCACACTTTACAATACCGCTTATACCGCGGGCACCTTACGATTCCTCTTGCGCTCACGCTTAAACTCTTTATCCGCGAGAACAGCCGCTTTCCGAGCAGAAAGTCGATGCGTAGTTCTCTTTATTGGTGCGGGAACAGAGCGCGGAATACGAGGAATCCTATATGGTGGGCAACTCGAGGACGGACCCGGAAGCGCGAGCCGAGGTGAAGGTTGATCCTCAGGCTCAAGCACCTCAACGGATACGACCTCCGATGTCCGAACCGTTCGACCGGTGACCAGCTTCCCAGGCGCAGAGCGCACCGGTACTAATTCCAGATCTAACACAACCCCGTAAAAACAGGTATTCACAATAAGGAATATGAAGATAATCGTCAGTAACAGATTTTGGAATTATTGCTCTTAAGAACCACCAAAACGTGCAAAGACAATCACTTAGATGTGTAGGAAATGGAAAGAAACTCAAAACTTACTTTGCATGAGAGAAAGAAGAAAAACCAAATGCGAGATTGACGACGACGGCGGTAGCGGGAGCGGAAACGAAGACGAAGACCAAAGACAGAGACAGCAGCAAGAACCACAGCAAGAACAAAAGCCAAACCAAGAACGAAGACAACGAAGACAGCGGGGGCGATGACCAAAACCAATTCACACAAGAGAGCAAGAACGACAGCAGCAGCGAAAACCAAAACCAAGAACGACGGCAAGAACGAGAGCGACAACGACAGCGAGAAGACCAGCGGAAAGAACGACGAGAAACGGCAGCGAAAACGACAGCGACAACGACGGCAGAAACAACGGAACGAGAACGACAGACTCATGCAGTGAAACGACAGCGAGGGACTGGGCCCATAACCTAATGGTAGGTTCGGAGGGGCAAGGGAAAGAAGGAAGGCAGGTTGATGTGTGTGAGTGAAGGAGTTGGTACCGAGGTTTACTTTGAAGCCGTTTTCCTGGGATACTTATACACTTCGAGTGCTACACTATCGCTCTACTCCGACTCCCAGTAAACCATACTCTACTATGCGCGACCAAGCGCGGTCCTCTTGTGGCCCGACCATACTGTTCGATTTCCACCTTACGAATCGATTCGTAACTATTAGCTCACAACTATTTCTACACATTCCAAATGACTGTAAACCATGGCCCTATGCATGCAACTGTTTCACACCTTACTAATCTGCATCTAGTCATGCCAGACTTCATTGTTGTGCAACGAACAACTTGGCACTTGTCTATTTCCAACAACGCAAACGTCTTTCATATCACAATCGCCATACGTATCCTTGTTTCTCACCTTACTAATTTCGCCAAGCACTGTCAGATAATTATGGCAAGTTATAACAATGTGCATCCAGACTTTCTACACAACTCACATGAGAATACATGTAAATCACACGAGTACTGTCATGAACTTGCATCCAACGGCGCACCATGACGAGAGCACAGTGCAACGGCGCGTGCTCACGCAAGACTCGCATACAGCGTGACGCGTACACAGAATAATCGCACAACTGTATTCCTCTCGCGAGAAGTACTTGTTGTACTTTTGATTCACATGTACTGTACTCGGACACGCGCAGGATCGCAAACAGTCTGACACTGTAAAACTGTAAACCCTCATGTGCATACACCTGGATGCGTGTACATGTGTACGTACACGAATCCACCTGGCGACGTGTACATGTGTATACGGCATACATGTGTCCCGCCCGAGGGCCCCATGCAATTACCCATTACAACCATGACAAACCACTTGAAACCCCCAAAACAGCGTAATTATGGCCTATACAGGCCATTTAAAGTACATCACAAGGCCAATGACGCACACGTGGACAACGCCCGACCAATAGATTTGCAGCATTAGACCTGAGGGCCAATAGAATTGCAGTATTTCCTGTGTAGTCTATAGTGCTACGGGCCAAGGTTCCACTTGGCAAAACTATGCAAATTTGCATGACCCTCCGAGAGGCCACTTTCGTCCCCGGAACCCCAAAATCTGGGATTTTACACGTGTCATGTCGTGATATGGGTAAGAGCGCCCGGACCGTGCAGTCATGTACACGTGTCACTCGATTTTGACCTTTTCAGATAACAGCATGTGGTCGCACATTTTCAATAAACAGTTTGCCCAAACGCACACTGGTCGTAAAGTGAAGGTGCTTCGCACTGATCGAGGGGGAGAGTACTTGTCGACAGAATTCAAGTCATATTTGGATTCAAACGGTACCCAGCACCAGCTCACCACTGCCTACACACCTGAACAAAACGGTGTTGCTGAACGTTTAAATCGAACCTTGATTGATCTTGTCCGTTCCATGCTTTCTCATAAACAGGTCAGTAAACGATTCTGGGCAGAGGCTCTTGCCACTGCAGTATATGTACGCAATCGAGTTACTTCACGGGCTTTGCCAGTTAACACGACTCCCCATCACATTTGGATGAAGTCAACTCCAAATGTTGGCCATTTGAGAGTATTTGGGTCAAAGTGTTGGTATACATTACCGAAATTAGAGCTCCGTAAGCTTGACTTGCGAGCGCGTGAAGCGATGTTTCTCGGTTATTCGCAATGCAGTAAAGCATACAAACTTTGGGACGGAGAGTTGAATAAAGTTGTTGTTTCACGAGATGCCAAGTTTGATGAATCGACATGTGGGATGCATGACATTCCTGCACATGAAAAAGATTCAATCAGCTCTGACGTTGGCGTTGTATTGCTCGGTGGCGACAATGAGAATGAAGCCGATACCCCAAATACTAATGAGGTTGGGTCGGAAGAGGATGAAATTTCAGAGGAGGTTATTGAAAACGAGGACACTCACTCTGTAGGTGAGAATGATGAAGATGATGTATCACTTCCCGTCGAAACTCCAAATGTCACCCCTCCAACTCCGACTCCAGCTGTACGAAGATCGTCTCGAATCAGTAGACCTCCCGGATCATGGTGGAGGAGCAACTTTGCAGCTGCTCCTCTTTCACATGCGCATGTCGCTATTGAAGGTCCCAAGACTTTCAAACAAGCAACCCACGGTCCTAGAGCTGCATTCTGGCAAACCGGCATTGACAAAGAACTTGCGTCGCAGACTAAGAATCAGACCTGGAAACTTGTTCCTCGATCTGAGGCGTCAAACATCTTGACATCTCGATGGGTTTTCAATGTCAAGCAGCTGCCTGATGCAAATGGCAATATAGTTGAAAGTATAGAAAGGTCAGCGGGGCAGAGGGAAGAAGGATGGTTGAAGGTTGCTGGTGGTTGACGGGAAAAGAAGTTGATACCATTTTACTCTTGGTCGCCAACTATTGGCGCTACTTATACTCTTCGAACTACATACAATACGAGCCATTAGGGCTGGTCACGTGACTCTCCTTCTTGCACTGGTTGATAATCAAGTGACTCTCCCTGTTGCACTCTCGGTTGATAATCAAGTGACTCTCCTACTTCAACTCTCCGTTGATAATCAAATGACTCTCCTTCTTGCACTCTCGGTTGATAATAATTTGGGACCGTTTGAGAGTCAATAATATCTGAATGTATTGTACTGTAGATTACAGATTTTACACTACGATTAATAACCACTGTGGCACATACGTCATACGTGTCACACACGTGTCAAATCGAGAAAAATGAAACATGTTCAGAATGTACTGTAGAGTGCCAGGGGGTACATAACTTACACGTGTCAACACCAAAATTGAAACATGCTCGGACATGATAGGAACGTGCAACCGTGTACAAATATAACACGTGTCCACCTTGAAGACCAAACATTCTGAGAATGCTCTTGCAAGCATTTTAGGTTTCGTCGACGTACACGTGTAATATCTGTCAGGCTTGGAGCTTAGCATGTGGTCGAAGATTTCCAACACTCCCCCTCGATCACATGCTTTTACTGGACACTGCAAGTCCCAGAAGTTCTACAAACTTCTGGAATAGAATTCGCCCAAGTGCTTTGGTTAAGATATCGGCAGGCATCGAAGTGGTCGGACAATGCGACAAATACACAATGTTTCTCTTAATAGCATCTCGTACGTAGTGGTATTTTACATCAACATGTTTGTTGCGACGGTTGATCGATTCATTCTGTGCAAACGAAATCGTCCCTGCATTGTCACACCCCATCATGATCGTGGGATCAGAATCAAGTCCGAGGACATCAGCAACAACTTGACGCAACCAGGTCGCCTCCTTACACGCTTCACATAGTGCAATGTACTCAGCTTCACACGTCGAAGTCGCAACCACAGTCTGTTTCCGGGAACTCCAACTGATAGCTCCACCACAGAACTTGAAAACATATCCGCTGGTCGACTTGCGAGAGTCTGAACAACCGGCCCAGTCAGCATCACTGAAACCGAGCAACTCCGGCGATTTGGATTTATTGTCAAACACGATTCCTAAGTTTCGAGTCCCTTGCACGTATCGCATTACTCGTTTTACACCTGCCCAGTGTGACTCACATGGGTTGGCAGAATGTTGGGAAAGCTTTCCAATGGCGTATGCCAAGTCTGGACGAGTGCCAACCATCAAGTACATAAGGCAACCGACTGCCTCACGATACGGTGCCTTTGTTTCGGAGTCGTTTTCGATAGAATTCGTGGTTTTGCGACCTTGTTCCATTGGAGTCAGGGAAGGGTTACAAGTCGACATTTTAAAACGGTCAAGCACATTTAATGCATACTTAGTTTGAGTGAGACTCAATGTCTTGATAGTGCGATCTCTATGAATCTCAAGACCAATGCAGACTTTTGCCTCACTAAGGTCTTTCATCTCAAACCGTTTGTTAAGCTCCCCCTTCATCCATTTGATGGCATGGATATCACTACCAGCGAGTAACAAGTCATCGACATAAAGTGCAATTAGCATGATAGTGTTACCAATGCGTTTAATGTAGAGGCACGGATCACTACGTGAAATCTCAAATCCCAATTCACCGAGTAAGAAATCATCCACTTTGGTATGCCATTGACGAGGTGCTTGTTTAAGACCGTAAAGTGCTTTCAAAAGTTTACACACATGATCACTTTTGCTTTTGTCAACGCAGCCTTCGGGTTGCTCCATGTAGATGTCTTCATCCAAGTCGCCGTTCAAAAACGCAGTCACGACATCCATCTGATGAAGTTCAAGGTCGTAATGAGCAACTAAGGCAAGAAGTAGACGAATAGTCGTAAACTTTATGACAGGGGCATATGTCTCAGTATAGTCAAGACCCTGCACTTGCTGGAATCCACGGGCAACAAGTCTGGCTTTTGCACTTTCAACTATATTGCCATTTGCATCAGGCAGCTGCTTGACATTGAAAACCCATCGAGATGTCAAGATGTTTGACGCCTCAGATCGAGGAACAAGTTTCCAGGTCTGATTCTTAGTCTGTGATGCAAGTTCTTTGTCAATGCCGGTTTGCCAGAATGCAGCTCTAGGACCGTGGGTTGCTTGTTTGAAAGTCTTGGGACCTTCAATAGCGACATGCGCATGTGAAAGAAGAGCAGCTGCAAAGTTGCTCCTCCACCATGATCCGGGAGGTCTACTGATTCGAGACGATCTTCGTACAGCTGGAGTCGGAGTTGGAGGGGTGACATTCGGAGTTTCGACGGGAGGTGACACATCATCTTCATCATTCTCACCTACAGAGTGAGTGTCCTCGTTTTCAATAACCTCCCCTGAAATTTCATCCTCTTCCGACCCAACCTCATTAGCATTTGGGGTATCGGCTTCATTCTCATTGTCGCCACCGAGCAATACAACGCCAACGTCAGAGCTGATTGAATCTTTTTCATGTGCAGGAATGTCATGCATCCCACATGTCGATTCATCAAACTTGGCATCTCGTGAAACAACAACTTTACTCAACTCTCCGTCCCAAAGTTTGTATGCTTTACTGCATTGCGAATAACCGAGAAACATCGCTTCACGCGCTCGCAAGTCAAGCTTACGGAGCTCTAATTTCGGTAATGTATACCAACACTTTGACCCAAATACTCGCAAATGGCCAACATTTGGAGTTGACTTCATCCAAATGTGATGGGGAGTCGTGTTAACTGGCAAAGCCCGTGAAGTAACTCGATTTCGTACATATACTGCAGTGGCAAGAGCCTCTGCCCAGAATCGTTTACTGACCTGTTTATGAGAAAGCATGGAACGGACAAGATCAATCAAGGTTCGATTTAAACGTTCAGCAACACCGTTTTGTTCAGGTGTGTAGGCAGTGGTGAGCTGGTGCTGTGTACCGTTTGAATCCAAATATGACTTGAATTCTGTCGACAAGTACTCTCCCCCTCGATCAGTGCGAAGCACCTTCACTTTGCGACCAGTGTGCGTTTGGGCAAACTGTTCATACAACTTGTATTTTGCAAAGGCCTCAGATTTATTTCGCATCGTGTACACAACAACCCAGTTCGAGTGATCATCTACAAATGTAATGAAGTATCTCGAACCACCAATGGACTGTACTTCGAGCGGACCGCAAACGTCAGAATGTACCAAGTCAAGACAGTTCTGTGCTCGAGACGATGATCGCTGTTTCGGGATTACTGATCGCGTTGCTTTGCCGAACACACACGCAGGACAAACGAGAGAGTGATTGTCAGACTTTCGATTCATTGCTCTGATCACATCGCTTTGACGAACATTGATGCCACTTACCACATTATTGTGAATCATTGATGCGATTCCTTGTACGTTAACATGGGCCATTCGTTCATGTAGCGTCTGCAAGGTAACTACATGAGCAGAGAAAGTTTCATTCATGACATCAAGTATGAATAAATCCCCAACTTGACTAGCTGTGGCAACTAGAGTTGGTCCTGCAGTAACGATGCATTTGTCTTTTTCAAATGACACTTGCAAGCCCTTTGAAACGATTTGGCTAACAGACAGAAGCGAGTATCCGAAATCAGGGACATGCAAAACGTTGGACAATTTGCAAGGCTGTGGACTACCATTGACGTTCAACATGAATTCTACCTCACCACGACCAGCGACATTGGCTCTAGCCTTCGTGCCCATCTCGACTGATCCAGATTGCATCTCTTCATAAGTAACGAACAAAGAGCGATCAAATGTAATGTGGGCACTGCAACCGGAATCCACAAGCCATGACCCTGCGTTCACTGCCTTCTTTTCGGGAGAAGAAGTCGAAAGCAGGCATGTAAAGTCGCTTTCAGCAAAGGCAGCAGTAGAAGTTTCATCTCGAGATACGAATGCACTTGGCTTCATGCCGGGGTTGCGGGACCGGAACCCGTCTGGCGGTGCTGGTCGGCGCCCATTCACATCCTTGCCCCAGCAACGTGCTGCGGTGTGTCCATGTCGATTACAGTTCGTACATCTCATATCACGTCGAATAGGCATGCGATTGACAAGTGCAGGTGCGTGGGGTGAAGTAGTAGAAGCGGTCTTCATGCTCTCTCGTTGTTCCTCTTGCAGCAGACGACTCTTCACAAAATCGAGTCCAAACACTTTATCCTCATTGCCAAGTGCGTCAAGTGCAACAATCAAGTTATCGAATCGTGGAGGCAAGCCATTCAACACAGCCATTGCAATTTCTTTATCGTCAATCTCAACACTCATTGACTGCAATCTGGCAGCAAGTTGCTTCACACGATTGATGAACACGAGCACTTTCTCGGATGGGAGCATGGAAACAGTGTAAAAGTCGCGACGGGCGGAAAGTTTGTTGAGCAAAGTGTGACGCTCAAACACATTCAGAATCGCCTCCCATGTCTCTTTCGCACTGCTACACCCTCGCACATGTTGCAAGTAGTCATCAGAAAGCGTGAGTCCGATGACTGCCTTTGCTTTCGCATCACCACGAATCCACTTCCTGCGATCATCTGAGGTCGCATTTTCCGATATATCATCAAAAACGTATTGATCGACATCTCGGAGAGCAAGCAGTAGCTCGATTTTCTGCTTCCAGATGTAAAAGTTAGATGCGGTCAGCTTCTCGATTCTGACCGATCCAGAGCTTTGGTCATCCATTTCGCCGAATGGATGTACCCTTCGAGTATACAAGGTCTTCCGTCCCGGGATCCCAAGCCGTTAACCGATAGTCAACACAATGGCAAGCCCACCCGTATAGGAAGTTTGTAGCGATTACTCGGAAACGTTCTTGGTGCTTGTTCCCGGCGGAGTGGAACAAGCGTATTCTTCTTAAAAATGCCTTAGGGCGCTACCCCTATATGTCGGCCAGTGCGGGTCTTTCGACTGTGAACTAAATCAAACGTGCCACGAGTAAGCACAACAACTTTGCCTGTAGACGAACCAGGACTTTTGGTTACTACCGCGAACGGTCCCTGCAACCTAAATCGGCTTGTCCAAACTTGATACGGTACTGCCTCAGAGGGTCTCCCACAACACAAGAATGAAACTGCCTTCGTCGTACTCGTGTGATTTGTTCACAATCACTCCTTGGGTCACCCTCTTCCGTGCGAACTTAATCAAGGTACGCGACCTTATACACGTATAGTGAGAGGTTCAGTGTTTAGGCACGTATTCTCTTCACCCAGGGGACCGAAGTCGTACCTATAGGGCTAATACCGAGAGCGTTACCCACACCGCCGACGCACCTCCCGAAGGCAGAGTGCGGATCGACTAGACCAGTACACTGTGATCCTCCCCGAGGATCACTAATTCGTCTCTCGACGATTCTTGGTCGGACCCTCGCTCAAGTCAGATTTCCAATGGCACCAGCCTTTCACCAAGAGCAAGGGTATGTTCCACTGAGGATTTGGCAGTGCGTTGGCCACTAGGGACTTTCTTCCTCCCGACTAGCGGAAGGCTCACCCACAGCTCACACAACGACTGCCACGACAAAGCAAAAAACTGAGAACTGACGGACCACTGAGGATTTGGCAGTGCGTTGGCCACTAGGGACTTTCTTCCTCCCGACAAGCGGAAGGCTCACCCACAGCTCACACAACGACTGCCACGACAAAGCTGCAAGACCACAAAGTTGATTTCCAAAAACTGGGAACTGACGGACCACCAAACTGGAAAATCGGCTGAAACGGTGCTGAAAACGACGGCGAAAACTGAAAAAACTGAAAAACCAAACTCGAAAGCGGAGACTGAAACTGATACCTTCTTCTTCTGCTTGACGAGCTGAACAAACTGATACTTGAACGACGGCGAAACTCGAACTTGAACCAAAACGAAGACGACGATCAGCGTTGAACTGGGCCCATAACCTATAGAAAGGTCAGCGGGGCAGAGGGAAGAAGGATGGTTGAAGGTTGCTGGTGGTTGACGGGAAAAGAAGTTGATACCATTTTACTCTTGGTCGCCAACTATTGGCGCTACTTATACTCTTCGAACTACATACAATACGAGCCATTAGGGCTGGTCACGTGACTCTCCTTCTTGCACTGGTTGATAATCAAGTGACTCTCCCTGTTGCACTCTCGGTTGATAATCAAGTGACTCTCCTACTTCAACTCTCCGTTGATAATCAAATGACTCTCCTTCTTGCACTCTCGGTTGATAATAATTTGGGACCGTTTGAGAGTCAATAATATCTGAATGTATTGTACTGTAGATTACAGATTTTACACTACGATTAATAACCACTGTGGCACATACGTCATACGTGTCACACACGTGTCAAATCGAGAAAAATGAAACATGTTCAGAATGTACTGTAGAGTGCCAGGGGGTACATAACTTACACGTGTCAACACCAAAATTGAAACATGCTCGGACATGATAGGAACGTGCAACCGTGTACAAATATAACACGTGTCCACCTTGAAGACCAAACATCCTGAGAATGCTCTTGCAAGCATTTTAGGTTTCGTCGACGTACACGTGTAATATCTGTCAGGCTTGGAGCTTAGCATGTGGTCGAAGATTTCCAACAGAAAGTGCAAAAGCCAGACTTGTTGCCCGTGGATTCCAGCAAGTGCAGGGTCTTGACTATACTGAGACATATGCCCCTGTCATAAAGTTTACCACTATTCGTCTACTTCTTGCCTTAGTTGCTCATTACGACCTTGAACTTCATCAGATGGATGTCGTGACTGCGTTTTTGAACGGCGACTTGGATGAAGACATCTACATGGAGCAACCCGAAGGGTGCATTGACAAAAGCAAAAGTGATCACGTGTGTAAACTTTTGAAAGCACTTTACGGTCTTAAACAAGCACCTCGTCAATGGCATACCAAAGTGGATGATTTCTTACTCGGTGAATTGGGATTTGAGACTTCACGTAGTGATCCGTGCCTCTACATTAAACGCATTGGTAACACTATCATGCTAATTGCACTTTATGTCGATGACTTGTTGCTCGCTGGTAGTGATATCCATGCCATCAAATGGATGAAGGGGGAGCTGAACAAACGGTTTGAGATGAAAGACCTCGGTGAAGCAAAAGTCTGCATTGGTCTTGAGATTCAAAGAGATCACACTGCCAAGACATTGAGTCTCACTCAAACTAAGTATGCATCAAATGTGCTTGACCGTTTTAAAATGTCGGCTTGTAACCCTTCTCTGACGCCAATGGAACAAGGTCGCAGAACCACGAATTCTATTCCAGAAGTTTGTAGAACTTCTGGGGCTTGCAGTGTCCAGTAAAAGCATGTGATCGAGGGGGAGTGTTAGAAATCTTCGACCGCATGCTAAGCTCCAAGCCTGACAGATATTACACGTGTACGTCGACGAAACCTAAAATGCTTGCAAGAGCATTCTCAGGATGTTTGGTCTTCAAGGTGGACACGTGTCATATTTGTACACGGTTGCACTTTCCTATTATTTCCGAGCATGTTTCAATTTTGGTGTTGACACGTGTAAGTTATGTACCTCGTGGCACTGTACAGTACATTCTGAACATGTTTCATTTTTCTCGATTTGACATGTGTGTGACACGTATGACATTTGTCCTACACGTGTATGACACGTATGACGTATGTGCCACAGTGGTTTGGTCATCCATTTCGCCGAATGGATGTACCCTTCGAGTATACAAGGTCTTCCGTCCCGGGATCCCAAGCCGTTAACCGATAGTCAACACAATGGCAAGCCCACCCGTATAGGAAGTTTGTAGCGGTTACTCGGAAACGTTCTTGGTGCTTGTGTTGTAATTCTACGACCACATGCTGATATGCATGACACACGACGACAGGTATGACACGTGTAAAAGCGAAAACACTCCACGTGACGAGCTGAGCAAGTTTCATTTTCAACGTGTACACGTGTGATTTCTGTACACGGTTGCACTCTACAGTACTTCAGGAGCAAGTTTGGTTTCCAAAGTGTACACGTGTGAAATATGTACACGGTTGCGGTGTACTGTACAACCTGAGCATGTTTCATTTTCTCCGCCCGACACGTGTATGACCTGGACACATGTCTTCATTACACTGTCGGACGCGTACAGTACGCCTGCAGTCTTACAGACAAAGTGTAGAACCTTGGTGGCGGGTGCCTGGCACGTGCCAAAGGATCACAGCGTCCATGGAGTGCAGCACGGGTACAGCAGGACACAAAGATACCATTGCGCGAGTTTTGAATTCGTAAGGCAAAATGTGCACTGTTGTAATTGACAGTGGACAGGACCTCACGAGAGATTCAGATTCATAAGGCAACGCGTGCGCTGTAAACAGTCCTTGCAGGATTGATTTGAATTCGTAAGGCAACGTGTGAGCTGTAAACGTGCCTTACGAATTTGTGCCACGCTGGATTTGGAATAGTAAGGGAATTTGTGCTTTGCTGTGCTTTGTTGTACTGCCTTACTAATTTCTCCGTCATGACAGTGGTAATTCGTAAGGCGGTTTTCTGTTATGTTTGTTGGGCCATCGCCAGTTTGGCTGAGTAGCAAGACGGGCACATGTGTTAGAGCCAATACATTTGTAGCATGTGTGTCGTAGTGTTTGGTAGTAAAGTTCTAGAAGATTGCAGAAGTGTATAAGTAGTGCCAGAAGTCGGCGACTCAAAGTAAATCGGTACCCAATCCTTCAACTTCACCTCATCAACCGTCCTTCGATTTCCCTTTGCCCCACTGACCTTCCAATACAAGTTCTATGAACAGTTTGCCCAAACGCACACTGGTCGTAAAGTGAAGGTGCTTCGCACTGATCGAGGGGGAGAGTACTTGTCGACAGAATTCAAGTCATATTTGGATTCAAACGGTACACAGCACCAGCTCACCACTGCCTACACACCTGAACAAAACGGTGTTGCTGAACGTTTAAATCGAACCTTGATTGATCTTGTCCGTTCCATGCTTTCTCATAAACAGGCCAGTAAACGATTCTGGGCAGAGGCTCTTGCCACTGCAGTATATGTACGTAATCGAGTTACTTCACGGGCTTTGCCAGTTAACACGACTCCCCATCACATTTGGATGAAGTCAACTCCAAATGTTGGCCATTTGCGAGTATTTGGGTCAAAGTGTTGGTATACATTACCGAAATTAGAGCTCCGTAAGCTTGACTTGCGAGCGCGTGAAGCGATGTTTCTCGGTTATTCGCAATGCAGTAAAGCATACAAACTTTGGGACGGAGAGTTGAATAAAGTTGTTGTTTCACGAGATGCCAAGTTTGATGAATCGACATGTGGGATGCATGACATTCCTGCACATGAAAAGATTCAATCAACTCTGACGTTGGCGTTGTATTGCTCGGTGGCGACAATGAGAATGAAGCCGATACCCCAAATACTAATGAGGTTGGGTCGGAAGACGATGAAATTTCAGGGGAGGTTATTGAAAACGAGGACACTCACTCTGTAGGTGAGAATGATGAAGATGATATATCACCTCCCGTCGAAACTCCGAATGTCACCCCTCCAACTCCGACTCCAGCTGTACGAAGATCATCTCGAATCAGTAGACCTCCCGGATCATGGTGGAGGAGCAACTTTGCAGCTGCTCCTCTTTCACATGCGCATGTCGCTATTGAAGGTCCCAAGACTTTCAAACAAGCAACCCACGGTCCTAGAGCTGCATTCTGGCAAACCGGCATTGACAAAGAACTTGCGTCGCAGA